ATAGAAATTCAAGTTCAACAGTTGCATGCCTATTTTTTTTTATCAGTAAAATGAAATTGGTTTTTATTTGTATGGTGCCCAATTACATAAATGTGAAAAGATGTTTAAAATAATTGAATTTTATGAAGTACTTAAAATATAGAGAAAGTTGTCATATTTTTAAGAGTTTGTTAATAGATAGTGCTATCGATACATTCTTCCACAACCAGCCCTTTGAAGAGATTCATGATACAAAATAAAAATGAGTTTGACATGCATGACTTTGAGGGAGCTCTGTGTTGAGCCACTGCTCTTCTGCATTGAAAGGGCTCAATTTATCCTGGATGAACATGCTTCCTGAAAGGTTTCCAGGCAAGCTACACAGGGACAAGACTCTAAAAAGCTCTAAACATGGAAGGCAATGTCATTCCCCTCCATTCATTTCCTACAGAACTTGATAATGAGGCAATCACTTTCCCTCCTTCAGCCAAGCATCTAGCAACATTTGAGAATTTTTGAGCTCATACAGGTAGACGTGCACATGTGCATGGTATTGAAACGTGACACAAAGTTTAAAAATGTTCAACTATTGTCACTCTCACTGCTGTTGCTATTACATCCCATGTGTCAGCTTTCTATGTGACCCACTAAAGTAAAGAAGTAAACTACTCTAAAAATGCATTATTTTTCTTTTTGCTGTGTTTTAGAATCACTCATCACATGCCAACAAACACTAAAGTCTAACATGAAGAAAAAGTTCCAATGTGTGTCTGAAGGGATTTCTAAACCTGGAAAACCAACGTATTTAAATCAAATCTACACAGAGCTCTACATCACAGAGGGAAACTCTGGAGAGGTCAATAATGAACATGAGGTCAGACAGATTGAATCAGTGACCTGGAAACCAGACAGACCAGAAACAGCAATCAGACATGAAGACATATTTAAACCCTCACCTGTAAGAGATGAACCAATCAGAACAGTGATGACAAAGGGAGTGGCTGGCATTGGGAAAACAGTCCTGACTCAGAAGTTCACTCTGGACTGGGCAGAAGACCAAACCAACCAGGACATCCAGTTCATGTTTCCATTCACATTCAGAGAACTGAATCTGTTAAAAGATGAACAGTTCAGCTTGGTGGAGCTTGTTCACCACTTTTTTAGTGAAACCAAAGGAATCTCCAGGTTTGAAGAGTTAAAGGTTGTGTTCATCTTTGATGGCTTGGATGAGAGTCGACTTCCACTGGACTTCCACAACAATGAGATCCTGACAGATGTAACAAAGTCCACCTCAGTGGATGTTCTTCTGACAAACCTCATCAGAGGGAACCTGCTTCCCAAAGCTCACCTCTGGATAACCACAAGACCTGCAGCAGCCAATCGGATCCCTGCTGGGTTTGTTGGCATGATGACAGAGATCAGAGGATTCACTGACCCACAGAAAGACGAGTACTTCACTAAAAGGTTTAGATATAAGGAGCAGGCCAGAATGGTAATCTCCCACATAAAGAAATCCAGAAGCCTCCACATCATGTGCCACATCCCAATCTTCTGCTGGATCACTGCTACAGTTGTGGAAGACATGTTGAACAAGGAAGATGGAGAAGATCTGCCAAAGACCCTGACTGAGATGTACATCCACTTCCTGGTGTTTCAGACCAAACTGAAGGTCATCAAGTACGATGGAGGAGCTGAGACAGATTCACACTGGAGTCCAGAGAGCCAGAAGATGATTGAGTCTCTGGGAAAACTGGCTTTTGAGCAGCTGATGAAAAGAAACCTGATATTCTATGAATCAGACCTGGCAGAGTGTGGCATCGATATCGAAGCAGCTTCAGTGTGTTCAGGAGTTTTCACAGAGATCTTCAGAGAAGAGAGAGGGCTGTACCAGGACAAGGTGTTCTGCTTCGTCCACCTGAGTGTTCAGGAGTTTCTGGCTGCTCTTCATGTTCACCTGTCCTTCATCAAATCTGGAGTCAATCTGCTGGAAAAAAGCGAAATGAAATCCAAGGAATTAGAAGAAGGAAATCATGAATCTTCAGAGACAGACATCTACAAGAGTGCTGTGGACATGGCCCTGGAGAGTCCAGATGGACACCTGGACTTGTTCCTCCGCTTCCTACTTGGTCTTTCACTGGAGACCAATAAGCGTCACTTAGGAGGCCTTGTGACACAGACAGAAGAAAGTTTGACAACTAATAAAGACACAGCCCAGTACATCAAGGAGAAGATAAATAATGATCTAGATGCTGAGAAAAGCATCAATCTGTTCCACTGCCTGAATGAACTAAATGATCAGTCTCTGGTGGAGGAAATCCAACAATCTCTACAAACAGGAAGTCTTTCAGCTCACCAGCTGTCTCATGCTCAGTGGTCAGCTCTGCTCTTCATGCTACTTTCATCAGAGAAAGACCTTGAGATGTTTGAACTGAAGAAATACTCTGCTTCAGAGGAAGCTCTACTGAAGCTGCTGCCAATAGTCAAAGCCTCCAGCAAAGTTATGTAAGTCATTATGTAGATGACTTCATAAAAAAGAGGCTATAAAATTAATAATACTAATAATGAGATGGTTACTTTGCATTATGTCTGTCCTCTCAGACTGAGTGGGTGTAACCTCTCAGAGAGAAGCTGTGAAGCTCTGTCCTCGTTGCTCAGCTCAACAACATCTAGTCTCAGAGATCTGGACCTGAGTAACAACGACCTGAAAGATTCAGGAGTGAAGCTGCTGTGCAGTGGACTGATGAGTCTAGACTGTGAACTGGAGATTCTCAGGTAAGATACATTTACATTATTACATATTTAGTAATTTAGAAACATGTCTAATGCATATTTTAATTTGCCATTATTAACTATTTTGTGTACATTTTAAGAAGAAAATTGTACTAAAGTATTGAGTTTTCTCTGACATGGTAGTAGTGTCCAGTGCAGAGAAGACAACCTTACTGCTGCTATGGAGCGGGCAAGTAGACAAACAAATCATTACTAGATTCTAGGGGGAAAAATGATAGTTGTGAGCACAACAATAGACATTAGATTTTTCTTATTTGTTTAAGAGCAAGAACACTTAAACATTAATATTAATGTATTCAATTACATTAATACAGATTCATGTAATTGAACTTGTATAATACCATGCTACTGTAAAAAATATTTTACATGTTTCAGATCAATCATGACAAACTGAGTGTAAGTGCAGTGTTATATTAAGACGTCAAAGTG